TGAGTCTCTGGTGCTATTTCTTATCTGGTTAAAGATGTAGTTTTGAATTCCTCCCCAAAGATGATGATTGTTACAACCACTTACATTTTGCTGCCTTGGAAATATTGATAAAAAACATCTTGATTGCTTGAGTTTTTAGACCAAGTAAACTAAAAAAGTGATGATGGAAAAATCATGCAATTAAAGACCTCACTATAAACAAAACTTTAGCTTGAGGGCTGACCTCATATTAATGCAAAAAAATCTGAAGAACTGCTGAAAGGGTTTTAACCAACCTTGGTACAAAGGTAGCAGTGAAGCCCAATGGATGATGAGATGGTTTAAACGAGCAGGTTCATTTCTTTATCTATTGGATTGTTTCAGCTGTTGACATTTTATGTCTGACAGACACTGATAGTCTGATGGCCTGTTACATAGTTCATAAATACAGTAATGGATGAAACTGTGATGGAGACAATAGAGCTGAAAGCCACAAAAATCCTGTTAAATATAAATAGATGTACAGACATGCAATAAATCAAAATCTCAGCCTAAGTAGCGATCATCATTACCTGATGAGTATAAAATGTTAAATGTGCAGTTTTGAATAAAAATGAATTTTATGCTAATCGTGTATTTAGTGGTCATTAGCGAGCATTTAAAATGTGAGAATTTCAATGAAATGCTAATAATTTAGGTCTGGTTTTTCATATTATGCATTTGAAGACCATTAAGAAGCTTTTAGGATCTTTAGAAATTCTTAGTTTATCTTAATTATTGAACACTATTGAATTACATTTACTGAACCTGGTCAGTTTGAAGTAATCAATGAACTTTAAGAAATGTAACTGAGATATCATGTTCCCGATTAGCCTTTGATTTGAGAAGGAATTAACACAGATTAAGTTTTTATGAGATTTCTCACAGAGATACTAATGTTTACCTCTTTGAATGATTTTCTCTGATCTCTATGAAATTGGCATCTGGTTTGAATTTAGTGTTTGCACGATTTGGAATGTAAGATTATAAGTTGCAGTAGATGTTTTGTTCTAGGATGAATAAAAGACTATCCTAGTTTTGTTGTAATTCAATATCACAACTTCAAATCAGTCATAAACTTCCAGTGACTAGTTCATTTCCTAAACATATCTTTATTGAAGTAAACATTGTTTATTCTTAAAATGTATTTTTAATTAATGCCTATGATAATTACCATGACTTAAATCTATTTAAGTGATCTTGAGCACCAAAGTCTACTTTCTTTTATAAACTGATTAGATTGTGAATTTAAAGTCGTAAATCAGGTTTCTAAATTACTCTCAAAAGCACTTGAAAAAACATTATTCTGGGAGCTGGAAGTGTATATTTACATAGTGTTGGTGGTCTACTTGCTATGACTGATATATTCACAGTTTTTGGGGATTTTGGGGATGAGAACCGAGGATTAAGGATATCCCAGTTTTTGTGTTAGTAATGTCCTGCCATCAACTGATTATTTTGTTTGATTGTTGTTAGGAGTTTTGTACAAGAAACACATACGTTCATATAAATCATCTTTTATTAATTATAATTTTTTGAATTGTTGAAATACATGTAGTTGAATGCAGGATGCAGACAATGACTCATAAATATCCAGATACAGTTTACTGTACAATGAGATGTGTCTTCTATTGTGAAAACACAATGAATGTCTGCTTTCTACTTTCTTGTAAAACATAAAAATTATTCTGCTTTGGTGAAGGATAATAGTCTCACAAAACGTTGTTGTATAATGATCTATTGGGTTTTATTGATGTTCCAATACAGACACACAGCCGATGAAATAATATGCAGCCGTTACTTAACAACCAGACACCAGAATAAAGATGATGTCATCCCAATAAGATAACATGTAGAACTTATCTCAGATATAAGTATCATTAACAATGTCTCAATTTGAATGGGGACCTGTTATTCTGAATAAAAAATATAAGTTTATTCTTCATTTGACAGGAGATGATAAAATAATAATAAATTATTTGCGGCCATGTTTACATTAATTCATACGAGTTATGAGCTTTAGAATAGGTATTTGTTTTAAGATATGTAGTTGTTAATTACAAATCAAATTGTCATCCTCGGGTATTGCATTTCAAGGTCTTGGCAAATGTGTATTATTAATCAATTTGGCCAGGCACTTGTATTGGTACTGCTGATCCTGGAACTAATCTGCAATAGAACTGTAAATTCCCACTTTAGTATGTTGCAACTATGATGGGTGCAATAAGCAGGGATCTAAAGGAAAAAATATTTTTGACCAATTTTATCTTCTGATTTTGATATATCACAACTTTTTGAAAATTGCTTATTTTTGAACTTGTGTTTATTAACATGGGATACAAGTGTTTTAAGGGTATAAGGATCAAATTGAAAAATAATATTTGAGAGTTTTGTAAAGGGCAGACACTTGTGTCAGTGTCTGAGTCATCACTCACTGTTTATGTTGCCAGGGTAAGGTTTCTAACTTATCTATGGCTTCTGTCAGAGGTAAATCCTTCCAATAGATTTACACCGTCTGCTTCACATTTTTGTTAATTATTTCCTTAAAAATTGAATAAAATGTCTCAGTTTTTTACATTTTTATACTATTTAGGGTATTAACATCTTATATTATTAATCAAATTCTTGGTTATTTCTCTACTTTTCTCATATTTTGAGATGGAAGACATGATAAGTTTTAATGTTTCATGTTAGGGATTTGGTAAGTGTGTGAATTTATAAGCTACCCAAGTTAGGCAGGTGAGCCACTGATGAGAAACTCACTTTACTTTTTTCTGCATCTTCATGGATCTTCGAAAAACCAAGTTTTTGATTCGTCATTGGTAAAAATAGATGTGGATACTGGATAAAAAATGTATTATTCATTGAGACCTTCAGTTTTTTTGTGTTCATTGCGACCTTCAGTTTTTTTCATGCAGGTGTGTTTTCTGGTCCCGCATTTGATCGTGAACAGGATTATTTGGAATTTTGCAATTTCTGAAACTTATCTTTTCAATTAAGTATTAAATATCAATTAAATATCCAATAACTCATTTCATTTTCTCAAAATTATATGAAATTTTCAATTTATTGATGATAATTTTAGTAACAGCTAAATCATGATAAATTTTATGAGAATGATGAGTCCCAGTAAAATCGTGGTCATTAGATCATTCAACATTTAATGAAAATCACCAGACATGTTTCGAGCGCAACAGATAAAGCATCAAAGTAGCGGAGAAAGTTCTTTGAACAAAGGCTACTAAGGTAGTTATGATACAAAAGAATTGTGGTGAGTGAGGACTTAGAAAAGCTTTTGATCTTTATTCGAACCAATGTGTCATTATAAGTGGACCTGGAACTTTCAGCAAGTTTTGCAAATTTTGATGACTCATGTTTTTACCTTAGAAACATAATATTTTTTAGTTTTGAGTATATGTGAGCTGAAATAGGAAACAAGACTTCATATTTGGATGGTAATTTTGAACATTAATCCAGGTAAATGTAAAAAAGATTAAGTTTCAAATTGATTGTATTTTGAACTCTTTAGCATCTATTGAACAATTGTGTCATCACGCAGTAGGTGGAATTACAGCCACGGAACAATTAAAAAAAGTTCATTGTTATTTGTTTCTATTCAGATTCTAATTGAACATTTATAAAAATGACTTATCGCTTTGAAATCAATAGTTTTGTACTCGGGAAAGGCAACCAGAACTGACAGGAAGTATCTCTTACAGTAAAATCAAAATTATTTGTTTTATCATATTTAAATATACATACATTAAAATGATTAAACTCTAATTTCATATCATTTATAATAATTAAATTGAATTTCTTGTGTTTTTGAAAAAATATATTAAACGCATGTTTAAAATGCATTCATTATAATCTGCAAAATGTCACTCATGCCAACAATACGAACGATGTGTCAGTATATCTCTTTTATGTCTATTCAGAGATTAAAATACTTTAAAATACCATATTTTCAAATAAATCAATCAAAAAATAAACAATGATGTTTTTTCATTGTTGTATAAGTTGTATTGGCATTTTGTGGCACCTGTTCTGGTGATAAAGTGTGGCATTGATGGATCACTTACCTTGTCATTCTCTCATAGCGTAGTCATTGTTTCAATACAACAGTCATCATTGTAACAATTTCTCATGCTACGGTCCAGTAAGCAACATCTGTTTGCAATATCGTTTTTTCAATCAGTAAGATAGTTCATTAGTCACTTGGAATTTTAAAAATGTAATTATTGTCTGGCTGTGTGATCTAATCTCATAATGAAATTTGATCTAAACATCCGGATGCTCAAAATATAAAACATTTTTCAAATTTTAATTTTGGTCAGAGTTTTTACAATTAAAATATGTGTTTCAGTCATACAATTTTTCAAATTTTAAGATTTTGGACCTTTGAGGATTGTCAGTCTCTGGAAGATTTTAAATTAATTCTGATATGGACATTATGTGAAAAGACATCATTACATTTTTATGATGCTACTTCAATATACATGTACAAGTATATAGCAGGTGGAGTTCATAACTTAGATAATGCATTTCAAGTTGAGATATGTATAAAGATTATATAGATTGAATTATCTTTTTATAGACAAAAAATGCAGATTTTGCTATAAATTAATGAAAATTTATTTACGTGTCTTATAACTATGTAAGTGTCAGATATAAAGTTTATCAGGTGGAGGTTGGAATGTCTCAATTCTTGGTATGTTGTTGGATGGAAATGTTGATGCATATTTAGCATGACATCACTAATGCTCACAAATTACAGCTTGCATTTTTACATCCTGAAGCAGAGCTTTGCAGTGCAATTCAATTAATAATAATGAAAATCAAAATGAATCTGGTTATTTCAAGGGCGATAGTAATTCAGAAGAAATATCAAAGAAAACAACGCATAGTAACTGTATTTTAGAATGTAAGACTTGCAAAATTTCAGAAATCATTTATTTTAAACTTGTTGTTTCTACTTCTAGGGGCGATTGCTGAAAGGCTACGTAGCTTCTCACTGACCGAGGCAGAAAATAGCGATGATGAATCAGATATAATGAACGATAATTTGCCAGACTTAGTACGTGGCAGCACGCGCTCTAGGGCTCGTTCAGAGCCAGTTCTGCACCTTCCTATGAGACCCATCGAGGTGAATGTTGGTCAGGAACTACGCCGCATCAGCGATGAGTTTCACATGGACCATATTGAAACCAATATGGTGAGTGATTTTGCATATATTTCATTGTTCATTGTCATTCACTCTGGGCCACTTAATCTTGTTGATCTCAATGTTCTTCCTTTATGTTAAAAATGCAGACTAAAGCGTACTTATAGATTTATAATAAGGTTATACTTGTAATAGAAGTACGGTAGTATTAAATATCTCAAAAGAAATTGAAATAATTTTGGGAAGTTCCTAAAGCTGCTTCAACCATAAAGTCAGACTCATTAAATACAGAAGTTTTGCTCTGTGGAAATTCCAATGTGATCAAATCTGTGGGCCAAAGGAAATATTAATCAATTTGATTTTTGATGATTTTTGATATACTATTATCATCATGTATCAGTCCCGTAGCCAGGATTTGCCAAGGGGTTCACTTTTTGAAAAATTCCAGAGGGGGTTCACATCTGATAATTTTGGTCCAAAAATAGCCAAAATCACTCAAAAAGTGCTCAGAAGGGTTAAGAATTGCATGATTTAGAAAGAATTTTGGCCAGGGGGGGTTCAAATGGGGGGGGGGGGGGGTTCACTCGAAACCATCGAACCCCCCTTGGCTACGGGCCTGTGTATAATTCAGTTTGATTCTCTGTGGGATATTAACATAGAAATTCTATATTTGTATCAATATTATTATTAATAGCATATACTTTTTTCATCAAACATTCTGTAACTCCTGCAGTACCTCAGACGCGTTTTCATAAATATTCATCAGGACAAATGGTAACAGGTATCAGCAAACACCTGTAGAAGTCATTTGACAATAATACGCTCGCATAATTAATTAATTTCTGTTTTTACCTCATCGGGTTACACATACCTGGATGATGAGTCAACAATCGATATATTTTTTATTTTTGGCTTTTATTAGATCACTGGATATTTTAATTGTTTTAAAACGCAATTAATTAATCATTTGTTACAATTAAAAAAGAGGAAGTTAGATTGTATTGGAGCGTTGTTGTGTTATATTCGTGTTGATCATCCAATGATATTAGACTTACCTTGTGATTCATTGACCATTTGAACTATAGTTGACATTTATCGTTTTTTCTGTAAAATTCATGGCCGACCACTAACCACAGAATGCTTAGAACAATCACCATTATAACGAATTGTTTTGTTTTTTAAACTACAGTCATTATTTTATCAATATTTATCACTGGACTCACTCTTGAATTTACCAGAATAATAAGATTCTTTTTCAAAGTGTCAGAAACATTTGTTTGTTTTACTGATTCTTTACCTTGACAACGGATGATGTGGCATTTTGGTTTAATTCTTATTCACTTCGGGATCGCAATCCGTCTGCATCAAGATTAGTGGTTTAACGTCACTAAATGAAGAGGAAGTAATTACAATCGCAGATTATGGTGGTCCCTAGGAAAAATCATATTTTCTATGAAAGCCAAGTAAACAAACTTATCATTAATATGTTCCATATGAACACACATTAAAGCTAAGCCATTTTGTGGTTTATTGTCGCCATAACAACCCTGGTGAGTCATTGTGTGCGGAGTGACGTCAGTGGCGATTTTCCTTTCAGTCAGATGGATTTATCTCATTGTGCAATAGAATTCAGAAATAAGTAACCAAACATGTATCTGAAGTAGGGAGATAATGAAACTAAAGATTATTACCTCCCAGGGGCCTGGTAATTAAAGACCAATTAAATCAAAGAAATTAAACGGGCCAACAGATGGACTTTTTTATGAATGACATGTCTAAATCAATTGGGGGAATTGCTCAATTTCAAGAAATATCAGATTGTCTTTACATTTTTTTTTTCTTATTTTGCTTATGTGGACCTATACTTGCACGATCCTGACCCATAAAATCAACAGAAGACTACATATGATATTATACCAAGAAATTCCCATTCACTTATAATTAACTTCAACCCTATAAAAGAGTTAATGTTTATGTATAATACACCTGCACACAATCAAAGAACTATAACTTAAAGAATGCTGAAATGTTGCCCCATGTGCATTTTGGGTTCTATCCAACTGATGAAACATCAGCGAAAAAATAGATTACACGTGCAGTGTATGTGATGATATGTGAATACGCTTTGCCGGGAGATCACACCACACTCTGTGGTTAGCCAGTGACATCAATATTGGCTGTTAGCCAAAGATACAAGTCATTTTAGAGATGTATGCGATTTCTTTGTTTCAACCTTATCTGTAAAGAGCTCACTATGGGATGTTAACCATCCATTACCAATTGATTTAACCTTCATTATAATACCTTCACTTTTATCCCATATTTTCATGTAAATTACTTTTGAATATATCTGAAAGGAAAATGCAATTTAGATTTTATGTCTTCTTAAGTGGCCAGGCAAGTTTGGTCAGATTTATTTTGAAATTTAGATACAAAATGATAACCCAATTTTATTTAAGGTGTGATAAGTTCAAGTTAAATACACAAATGTCAGCATTATGTTGGTCTGTTTGTTTATTGTGTCTGTAAGGGACTCATGAGGTCAATTTGTGGCTAGAGTTACAGGTGAAAGTTTGTCTGGAAAATTAGTTTGTCTCAGACATTTGTAAAGATAATCAGATATATCAACAATCTAGTCTGTATGGTTTAAATTGGAGGTGTAATGATTCAGATTGTCAGTGAAAAGTCCAAAGGTCAAAAAGAAAGGTTCATTATTATAATTATAAGTAGCTTGTTTGGGTGTTTTGTTTCATTTGTTATGACACATTTTGCTGAGTCAAGGGATGTCCAGGTGTGTAGCTTAATAGACTGTGTGTCAGATCGTTAATCATTTAATGTCTTATTTTTAATTTTCTAATCATAATTTCTGTGTTATTTATTTGAACTTTATCATTTGTGTTGCATTGTCATTTACATGTTCATTATTAATTTGTAAACTGCTTCTCATTTCTGCTCATATGTATCATGATTTGTTCAATAAGTCCAAGCAGGGTGCCTCATAAGAGTATAAGATGTGCTAGTCCGGGATCCCATACATGCTGAAAAAGTAAGGTTGTCCTGAGACCAAAATAAACTAGACCAGTGCAAATTTCAGCTCTGGTTGTGGTTTTGTTTGGTTGTATTATTCATGTTAGTATTTTCTGTGTTTTCAGCAAAGGTTTCTACAAGCCACAACCCACAGACGCCAATCAACAGCAGTACAGCATGCAAACTCCTTCCCCGGGGCTGCTGAGGCTGACCGTGGTTTTCTGAGAAATATGCTCGATAGATTGATCTCCCCTAGGACAATGTTTGGCCAGGGAAACGACAGAATAAATACCCTAACAAGATCACAATCAGACTTGCAACAACGACGTCCTCACTCAGGACAGTTTGATGACATGAACAACCAGCATTGATAGTATTGCCTTATTAGGGCATACTCTACAAGGGTTTCCTTATTAGGGCATATGTAGATTTGTATTATAAAAATTGCATAGGTTAAAACAGAAGATTTTCATTGAAAGTTTTATTGAGTATGTGTTATCATATGTATGAGTTTGTATATAGATATATACTGGATAGATGAGATTCTATGATTCCTGATATGAAGGGGACCTAAGTTTGATATAGTTCATAAATCAATGCAATATGCAGTGTTTGGTTCCCAAATGTGTCTCCTTGTAACAAATGTTTGGCTTAGAAACATGTATTTTAAATTTTGAAGCTATTCATATAGCTTTGGTGCTTGTGTATTGCTGTATTTTGATATAAGTTAATGGTAGGTTTAGTTTGTGTAAACTTTGTGATGGTCATTCACAATTCCAAGAGAAAAAATATAAACCAGAACATTTTCATTGATTTTCATGGTGACCATCTTAGGAGGGGGGGGGGGGTTGTGAAGAGAAGTGACTGTACTATAAAGTTTCAGGATTGTTTAACCATTGAAGGCTGACATTCAAGATGGTAAATCTATTTTTACATAAATTGAGAAAACACCAAGGGTAAAATTTTTTAAGAGCGTAAACACAAGTCTTTATAATCTAAACTAAATGATACCATAAACAGCCAAATTTGATCTTTTTCTGACATTATTACCCTCTTTGACATTCTTAGACTAAAGTTCTAGTCTTTAAACAAATATACTATGCAATATTGTGTTCTGAACAGAAATCAAAAATGCAAAAAGTAAAATTATCTATTGGGTTTATGAGATTTACAATGCTTATCTGTATGATAGTTTTATACCAAATTCAGTGTTGTTGTTTTTTCGGTTTCCAAGCCATTATGTAAATAGTGTACTATACAGTGTAAATATCATTTTTCCTTTCTATGCCGCAATACTGTTTTCCGGATTCCCACACCAAGAATACTCAAATCAGAGTCATTTTTTCTTTTTTTTAAATAACATGGAACTAGATAATGTGCAATATATTTATTAAAAAATGGTACTTTAGACACAGACTTTAAATTTGAAATTTTATTTTCCGGAATTGTATTTTAAAATACACTATAGGAAAACAGTATTGTGGCAACGGGAAGCACATTAGCGAGGCTAAAAATCAGTATATAGTTTTCAAATGATCTCAGTGGGGCAGGTATATAAAGCTTCCCATTTCAAAATACAGAAATCCAAGTGCACGGAAACCTCAAGAACAATCCATCGATGAAACAATATTCAAATCTCTCATATACATACATTCTAGGTCACGATTCAGAATTTTTCAATTCGGAAAAGTTATTTTTGTACACTTTCAATACCTCAGTTCTTGTTGGATTCTGTGCTCTCAGATTGTAGAATCATGATTTGATGGTTTTCTATGCATATATTAGTATATATTTTTTTCTATGATTCGGCTATCTACTAGCATTCCTAAAAGCTTAATTAGTTTTTCGTAGAAGTTTTGTAGTGTAGTGTAGTGTAGTGTAGTGAAGTAGGTCAGTCAAGATGGAGCTTGGGTGTTGGTAACCATGGCAACAGTGCCACAATTTTGATGAATTTGAAAAATTGTTCAAAATTTGTTTGTACAATAGTTTGAATTCTCCATTTTTGGACCATTGGTCTGTGAATCTGTAACATGTATATATTGTAGATATCGAAAGTAAATGAGTTGATGAGTTGTGTAGGTAGTTTATAGGTACACATATAGTCATTTATATACTGTATGTTCTGTAAATTCATACATTTTTGAAGCACAGTTTTGTTCCCTGTGGTTTGAATGTTGTAAAAGCATCTAATTTGTTGCGATTAAACAAATCGCCAATTCTAAAATTACTATCTACTGTTGTTATTGAGAATTTTCAAGTTCTTTATTGAAATATTTATTTTGGTTGTGAACCGATATTTCAACGATTGCCACCACTGTAATTGCTAATTATATCTCAATGTATTATCTAAACCAACTAAGTAGTTGATTTTAATTACAGTATACTGTTAAATTATGAATTCTATTCTGTTGAGACTATGAAATTTTATCCATGTTATAAACCTAATTGTGCAAACACATGATCTTTATAGTTGTATAAAAGTGTACAGTGCTTTACAAGAGTGCTTGCTGTAAGATATTAAGGTGAGCCTGGTACGATGATTTTTGAATCCATACATGCATTAGTAAAATTAGTAATGGGCCGAGGGAGAGTCAAATTCTTGAAATCATAATGTACAATCATTGAAAAATAATTGCCTTTTTTGCCATAGTACATGACCATGGATTATTAATCTGACCAGGCTTACCTAAACTATAAGAGATGCAATGTCGCTATGAAATCAACTGTTAATTCTACCAGGGAAATGTGTAACTTATTTCACGCTTTATTTATTTTATTTATTTGTTAACTTAAACCACAATTCTCTTATGTTGAAATATATTACTACTGTTATATTTTTCTTATACTGAGATGCCAGTAACTACCAGAATCTTATACTTGGAATTACCAAAAAATATTTGGAAAATGCATGGATGAACTAGTTTATTAGAGGATAGTCTGGTAGAGTCTTATTTCTGAAACCAAAAACAAAGTGCAATTTCCATGGCTACTTTTCCTTAATTTTACACTTTATTTGTAGACGTGAAAATTTTCATAAAAATCACATCAGTAACTGAGAGTAATTTATAAGTAATTGTGAAACATCAGGGTCCAGTTTCTTGAAATTAGTCAATTATGCAAACATAGTTGGTCTTAGTCAATTGGAAATGAAGTGGCGATCAACAATATTTTCTTGAAATGGCCCCCTGAAAAAGTTAGTTATGGACAATAATCGAAATGTGATTGATTGGCCAGTACCCCAATTTTTCTTGCCTACCAGGGGAATCTAGATTTGTGTTCATTACCTTCAATCAATATATACCAACCAATCATGCCCATTTATCATTATTACATTTGTATTGTTCTATTAGAGAAGTTTTTCATATAAACATATAGTACTCGGAAAAGTATTATTTGACAGATGTTTGATCATCCTACTATATTCAGATATATAGAGGAGCATATTGCATATAGATAGAATTTAGGGTAAATGAGCCATGTACAGGGTGTCCCGAAAGTATGGGCCCCCATAGGTAGACCTATTCCAGTGTCCTTATAGTATGTGTCATATATCATTTTAAAGCTTATCCAAAGTTACATTGATTTGCCAAGTATCATGGTTTAACTCCCAAATGGGAAAAAGTTACAGTCATTTTAAAAGTTAGTATTTTGTCAAAATAAAGTTCAATTTTACACCACATTACTAGTCAATGAGTTCCCCCTTGGCCATGTTAACAGCTGCAATTATTTTCAGATATGACCTTAAAAGCCCTTCAAATAGGGGTGTGGAATTTTATAACCCTCTTAAAACCTGTTAAGGCACTTTAGAAGTATCTTTAGAGTTTCTACCCTCATTGTTCTATTTTCCAACTCAATATCCCTCCAACCCGAAAAGAATTGCTGCTGTTAAGATGGCCCGGGAGGACACATTGACTAGTGATTTGGTGTAAAATTGAACTTAATTTTGACCAAACACTAAATTTTGAAATGCCTGTAATCTTTTCACATTTGAGAGTTGAACCATGATACTTGGCGAATCAATGTAACTTTGGATAAGCTTTAAAATGATATTTGACATATACTATGACGACACTGGTATATGTCTACCTAGAGGGGGGCCCCATACTTTCGGGACACCCTGTACATGTTGTATTTGTTCTTCATTTGGAGACTGCTTTAAATAAGAAAAATCAGATTTGAAAAATTAACCAAATTAAATTTTTGCCAAAATTCGAAGTGAATAGTGCCAATACCATTTAAGATACTAAATTGCCTGAGAGTTTTAGAATGTCTCCATTGAGCCAGTTATACTTTGTTAGGATGATATACTGATGTTTGGAAGTTTGTTATCATTTCAGTAATCATTGAGTTAAATCATTGATATATGTTCAAGAGATACCAACAATGTGAAAAACTGACCAAAAACAACAAATTCAATAAACGGCGCCAAATTAACAACAAATACATTTCTTTAATTCACATTAGTTGCAATATGTAATACTGTAAATGTTTTTGAAGGTTGGATTTGCAGTTCAGAAAGTGTGAAAGAGTAATTTTGTAATAAGACATTACTGTATGTATGTAAATGTTCATTTTTGAGAATAGTGAAAAAATCACTCAGTGTTTCTCAAATCAGAATTTAACAATAAAATATAACTCTGTTTGCAAATGAAATATTTTATTTTTGTCGATTTATTTTATATTTTATATCTAGTCTGACAGAGTCCTGATTTACAACAGAAGTAAAAGTCCTCATGATATGAAAGATTACTGGAATCCAGTGTTCTTTGTCCGAAGACTAATGTCCTTAGTTCAAGTCTTCTTTAAATGTCATCCAGTCTTAGTTTATAGTTCAGCTAGACCACTATGGACCACTACTGAATGGCCTGAAAATAGAAATAGTTTCAAATAAATATCACAGATCAAGCAATGATTCCCAAAAAATTAAATCAGGAAATATGAGACAATGTGCGTTGTGATAAATGGCTGTTTAATAAGTGCATTTAGTCATTATTTTAAAAAGATACATACAGTATTGTGAAAGATGCACTTAAAGTGCCCAAAGAAAGAACTTATTCCTGGCTGATCGCCAGCCTTTGTTTCCTTACTAAACTCAGACAAACACATCACCCAACAATATTTCTTATGATCCTAAAAGAATAGTTTTTACCCAGTCTACGAAAAGGTACAAAATATTTATGGGGTTTGTCTGCCACCCCTGACCTATTAAACATCTGAACCTCAACTGAAATAAATCGAAATGAGTAATTTTCCAACTTAGCAACTGACATCATTTTTTCAACAAAGCCAAATGTATAATTGCAACATTTAGTTATAATGCATATGTTTTAGTCTATTTGTGGTTAAATTCGTTAAATATATCAGGAAAAATCATGAATCAAACTGGGTGTGATATAAAAATCAAACATTATTGTTTTGATTGACATAACATGACATCATTTAAATAGTAGTTATTCCCATTGTTTTGTTCTGAAGATAAGAGAGATCTTGAAGGGCCAACTTATTATGACACTTTAGTAAGGTCACCGACTGATACATGCTTGTTCTTCATGAGTTCTTGGCAAGGAGACAAATATATGATGCAAACTTTCAAATTATCAGTCATCACACTATATCTAGGCCTAAATACTAAGCCTACTACTAATGTATCAACATACTAAGGTTAAGTCAATGTTAAAATATGATCATGAAAATAAATTTTGAGATAAGATCAAACAAAGAAAAGATGTTGAACTTGTTTTGTTCTAATAGATGAGAGTCCTAAAATAAAGTACATTCAATTTCGTAATAATCCAGGGATATGTTATATATGATATAGTATTTGATCTTTGTCATAGATTGATGTATTTCAGGTTATTAGACATCATATGACTCTAATTACACAATTTCAAAAAATATCAATGTGGATTTTGTCACATTCAATTTCCTCGATTTATAATTTATGGAAATTTATAAATTAAATGACGACTCAAAGATACAGCTGTGTGTCCATCTGACCTCGGCTGGCACATTGCCAAACCTCAGCTCCCAGGGCTTGCAGAAAGTGCAAAAATTGCCGCCAATATTCTACAATTCTAGGCTTGCCCAACCTTACTGTATTTTCATCAGACAAGTTTCATAATAATTTTAAAATGATGAATAAAAATTCTAAGTAAGTCTCACAATACAATCTTTTGTTCTATTCTTAATTTATTCAAAATTTAAGTTAGGATTCTTATTTATAATTATCTTTTTTGACTTAATTTTTGTTTGCATAAATTTCAGTTAAGGATCACAGAGTATTATCCTTACACGTGTGTTGTTGTTTATACATCTGGCACTTTCATTTGTTCCAAACTTGGAGTAGCTCCAATTTCTTTAGAATTTTCTACCAGATAAGTTTAATAAAAACTGGTAAATGAGTATAAATAACTTACACTACACAATTGAATATAACTTAACTCATTTTATTTAAATGAAAACATAAAAGACTTATCACTTTTCAAAAATGACACCTATTTATTATTGGCGTGTGCCACTGTTTGTCATTATTCAATTTGGGAGTGTGCCAATTCATTTTATGTATACATCTATTAAGAGTATGTTTAATAAACTGTTTTTTGTGCGTACTTCTGAC